CCAGGTCCTAATCAGCAACATTCAGCATCTGCCCTCTGGTACTTGTCAAGTGATGTAAGGTCACTCTGCCACTGAGTATTTAGCTGAATTGACACTGCAAGGTGTAGAATTTGTTCTCCCATTGTCCTTCTGGTACACTACATATAACCTGAGAGGCAGCCCAGCCTCAGGAACAGTTTTGGCTTCTGGTAGTCTGCTTTTTACTGAGCTGCATCTTGGCGTTGTGTCATCAGGGATAGCTGGAAGCAGGCTTGTTTGATTGTCACTCTGTGCTGTGAGATGTTGTGAAGGTCAAGCTCTTTGCATCATTTGATTTCTAAGTAGGAGGAGTCATGCACAGATTTCTCTCAGGCCTAGGCATCTACTCCCAAGTAACTCTGTCTTCATTTCTTGAACACTTTAAATTCAGTAATGATTTCACTCTCTTTTTGTTTGATCCCTTTAGTCGTGGGAGGTCTAGAAGACCTAAGGGCATATGTAAGACTAGAATTTCCTTATGTATAATACGCTGCTTTCACAAGGCAAATGACTTCAGTTTACCACCCTGGACTAAAGTAGGTGACCTAAATTTAATGGCCTCTTTGCGTAGGGTTCCATTAGGGTACTTTAAGGATAGTAACAGGGTATTTTAGAAGTAAAAGGTTGCTTTTGACTGTTGTGCTTCACTTACACTTGGTGCTCAGCTTTTAAAACAGTTAAATTGGAGAAGAAAACAAAGACACTTTTCCCTCCTCATTTTTGTTTTTCAGTTTACAATTTGGTTTTGGGTCCTTAGGTGGTATTAGTAGCTTTATTGGATGTGTTTTAAACTTAAAGATGATGTGTTTGGTAATTTTTCATCTATCTCTTCTTGGGGAGATAGCTATGTTGACACTTGAATGTAGACACCATTTTCAGAAAAGAAATTTGACCTTGAGTGACCTGTGTGAAGCAGCAGCTGGTTCCTTGTCTGGTCTCCAGGGCCTGGTTTCTCCAGAGCAGTGACATCAAGGAACCAAATGACTAAAGACCATTACACTATGCGCCAAATACCAGTCTTGTGGAAAGTGCAGTCTTTGCACAGTGCTCTCTATGGCCTTGCCTCCTGCCCTCCTCTTGGGCCCCTGGCTCCCTTCTCAGGGCCTAGATCTCATCTGCCTACTCTACAAGTGAGCGAGCAATGCCTCCTCCCCAGAGGAACTCCTCTCACTGCACAAGGGCTGTCCTTAGTGGGCAACCTTGTGCTTATGATCTGATCAGGTCTCCGGCAGGCTATTTTAGGAACAGGAAAAGTGACGTGAAGGATGCAGGAGTATTCTTATAATGTGCTGGAAGGCAAGAGAGGGACTCTCTCATATCATTGTCACCTTTTCTACTCACCCCCTTCCCTTCAGAATGAAAACTATGGAACAGGACTTCCTGGGAGTTAACCAGAGAGTAGAAAGACACACAGGCACAGCTCTGATAGGCACAGTGGTGAAGGAGCCCTTGTTCCAGGTTTTCAAAAGCCTGTCATCAGTTTAGCGCCACAAAACACCAATATTGGGCTTAGGAGTGCTTCTCTACAAAAATTCACTGCTCTCCATCCCCTTTCATTTCAAGGAATTCAGCACAGAGTGCAATTGCACAGGAAAGTGATGACAGAAACCGGGCATGATGGCATATACCTATAATCCAGGACTTTGGGAGGCTGAGGCAGGAGGAACACAAGTTCAAGCCTAGCCAGGGCAACTTAGTGAGACCATTTTAAAGTTAAAAAGCAAACAAACAAGAACTGGGTATATAGCTCAGTGTGAAGGCCTTGGGTTCAACCCAAGTACTAAGTACAGTAATGAGGGAGAGGCATTCATAGCAGCTAGAAAACCAGTGTGGGCACAGAAGCATGCTGTATTATCTTCTTAGCCTCCAACATCATTCCATAATGTTATGTGCTGAGTAGTGCAGGATACAGTTTTTTTTAGCTGTATAGTGCAGGATACAATTTTTAAGTTGAGGGGCCAGGGATTTAGCTCAGTGGCGCCGTGCATGCCTTGCAAGAGCAAGGACCTGAGTTCAATCCCCGGTACCAAAAACAAAAAATTTCTAAGTTGAATGGAAACTATTATGTAACAAAATCATGTGTTCTAAGTAGGAGTTACCTACATTGTAGTCTTTGGTTTGTAAAAACTATAGAGATATGGATAACATGCTTCTAAATTTCCACCATTGTATGCAAATGTAACAACATATATCTGAGTCTTTCAGATCTACCATGGGTATGACAAATACAACTATTCACTCCGTGCCTTTTAAATCCTTGGTTTGAATGGGGAAAAAAATAAGAACCAAGATACACCATATAAAGATACAAGATCCCAATGATGAATGTAACTGTATTGTATACCTAAAATGTACCAATGAACTTAATGAAAAAAAAATCCTTGGTTTGAAAGGAATGCTTCTCACCTCTAACTAAACATATCCAAATTTTTAAGAAAGTGAAACCAAACAAAACCTGGGCTATTTTAGTGATGCTGTCTTATTAGTTACGACCGGGCAGCATCTTACAGTATTTCAAAGCCCTCTCAAATAACTGAAAATGTTCTGGGGTAAAATTCACATTTCCTTATCTGTTTCTAAGCTCAGGCAATTGGACAATGCCTGTCTGCAGGACAGGAAGGTTCCTGAATCTATCTTGACACCACTTCTGGGTAAGAAACGAACACACTGCCAGGTATACTCATAATCCCAGCTACTTGGGAGGCTGATGCAGGAGGACCATGCATTTATTTGAAGCCAAACAGGGCAACTTATTGTGACCTTCTCCCAAAATAAAAAAATAAGAAGGGGTGTGGGGGTACAGTACTTGCAATCCAAGGTCCTGGGTTCAATCCCCACTACCCCTGAAAAACAAAACAAAGAAAACAAGAGAAAAGAAACTATCATGTAAACTCATTTTCTGTGATCTTTATTTAGAATATTTTTCAATCTAGTACAAATTGTTCCATTAATAGGAAGCCACAGTTCATCTGTGTAATAAATACACAGCATTGGAAGAGAGCATCCTAAATATTAAGCTGTGAATTGGGGTCAGAATAAAACTTTGAACATATTTATGAGGACTTTTCATTACTTTCTAATTCCCGAAGTTTCATTTAAGCTGTCTAAAACCTTTTAATGACCACGAGGAAACATATCTTTTATAGATAACTTTGAAGACCCAAAGAGATGTCATAGTCTGCTGCTCAGAAGGAAGTGTGTGTTTAACTTTGCAACTCTCTGTCAAAGAACACATTGAAGTACTGGGCTAGTTTCTACTGAAAATCATAAAGTAAAGGTACATTAATGTGTCATTACCCTTTAAAATTACTTAATTTGCACCCAGTCTTGATAAAGGAGCTACAAAACACTACAAGAAAACCTGTTTTAGAAATTACAACCTGGCAAGCTAAAAAGGGTTAACATTTTTTTTTTCAGTGGAGTAAAAACGGCCTTCAACAAATTAACTTCAGCTGGGCCTTCCATTCTGCTTGCCTGTCTACACTGACCCAGGGCAAGCTCAGCCTCCGCTGAATACCTTCTGTGCACACCACCTGCATGGACATGGGCTCCAGTCAGGGCCAGGAGTCCTAGCCTTGGGCAGTCTTAGGGTCCAAATTCCTGGTGTCATGTGAGGCCCCTCCTGGCATCAGTGGATTTTCTCTTCAAGCTTTGGTTCCCTGTAGGCAAAATAAGCCAGCATTCTTGTAATGAATGGAGAACATCTTTTATGAGTTCCCAGTTCAGCAAAACAGGAGTTGTGAGACATCCAGAGAGGTGCTGCAATCCAGCACTTGTGCTGTTTGGCAGTCCTGTCTTCGTGCTCAGAAATTGGGTCAGTCATGTTTACTAGTGGTAGCAGCCATAATCACAGCTGTGTTCTTACAGTCAGAACGACGAGCGGTCTTGCAACTGTGTTTAATTTTATAGAACTGGCGTTTTAAAAACTCAAATTTAGTGGAATTCTATTAAAACTCTGGACTTGTGAGCTTCTCCTTAATATCAGTAGCACCACATTAAATTTCTAGAAAGATCTCAGGTTTAATGAAATAGAACCAGCATTATTTTACCACGTTTGAATTGCTAGTGATAGGTTTACTAGAGTCTGCTATTGGTGAGTGAAATGGGAAACACACGTTTTGAGCACAAGATTTCACAAAAAAATCAGGCAGTGACTCAGACTTCCATCACATGTGCTCTGGGAGAAATGGATGTAGATGGAGAAGTCTATTAGAGTATTTGTCTTTTATTATCCCCCCCTTAAAAGTAATGGAAGAGTTGCCAAAGGGCAGTACAGGAACACAATTGGCCTCTAGGTGGTGCCTGAAAGCAATTTAGTGACAGTTGACCCATTTCTAGGTGGAAAAGGTATGGAGAGTTTCCCCTTCTGCACCTGCCCCTCCAGGGCCAAGTCTTCAACACAGTCATCTGTTCTACAGTCTCCACAGGTGGCTCGCGGGGGGGGGGGGCTGTAATCTATTCCCCCTTTCACACATTCCTGTGCCTGTAAATTTGTATTCCATTTATATTATTTCAATAAATCATCACTGTTTAAACTGAACAGACAAGAAGGAGAAACACACTTATTCAGAGAGCTTTTTCCAATCAGGTTCTTTCACAAAGAACTTAGAAATACCTGCCTGAGTCTCCCTCAGCCTCCCACTTATCCAGCACTGTCCTGTCTAGACTGAGCAGGCTCGCCTTGTGGGAGCTAGATTTTGTTTGCTGGCAAATGGCGTGTTTCCTAAGGGAATGCCTTATCTTTGTAATTTTCTTGGTAGTTTTTAAAAAAGGTATTATAGCTGCTGTATTTGATACCAAATAAGAATCTGTAATTCCTGTTGAAATACTAGCCATTAATAAAAACAATGACATCCCCTTTCCCTGTGTAAATGTGGGCAGATGTGTGAATCTATATAAATCTCATATACATGTTCACCAAAGAGAAGCGTTAGCATAAAAAATGAAACATCTAGATCCACATCTTAACATATATTTTTTTATTAAATATGTAAAAAGATCAATGCAAGTCAAGTTATTCACATATTCAGACAAAAGACTATTCTACCATGCGACAGTAGGTGGGTAATGTAACATGAATGTGATACATCTGAATAAGATTTTTTCATCTGTTATGCCACTACTTATCTATATTTATAATTAACAATACATATGTTTACATTCCTTTCAGTTTACATTTAATATATAACAAAAGTTTTATGGTGTACTATTTAGTAAAAGTAATCTGAATGCATATTAAACCGTAACGGAAAAATGGAAATACTCACCAGGGAAGGGAGGAATTCTTGGTTCCCTTCTGGAGTTTTCTTCTCTTGGGTCAATAGGGTGTTTGTCTTTTTGTTTTTCCTGCTTTTCTGCTTAGAATGAACACGAGCTTTCTCTTTGCTCCCTACTTCGATCACTTCCAATCTGACAGTGGTAATGGAAGCGCTACAACCAGCCAACAGTGGGCATGAAGTGATAGTAAGAAAGAAGTCAATCTTCCTGAGATGGGAGGAGCAGGGCACACACCTAGGGATACCTGTCCACCGAGCACAATGACATGTGACTGGGTGCGGGGCGTGGAGGAAGCGTGCCCTGAATTGTAAGATGAGAGCCATGATGGGGCCCACCACCCAGGAAGCGAGTGGTGGTTGTATATAGGCAGGGGTTGCAGCCCAAGACTGACTGACTCTGAAACAGGTGTTAAGATTCCCCAAAGCATCCATGACATTATCTGGGGTGCAGCCCAACAGAAGATTTTTAAGATGGGAACAGAAAGAGGAATTCATAGCTCTTCTCTAAATGGTCTGCCCCAAGCCGTTGAAAGGACAATGGAATACAGCTCCTGGGAGAGGTCCCTGCCGGTATCTATAGCTTAGAAGGTTGCGGAGTTGGAGAGGAATGGAATGGTTCCAGCAAGAGTCATCAGAGGTGTATGGAAATAATAGTGTCAAGTGGTTTTGGAGAAGATGGGATCCTGACTCCCTGGTATCTGTTCATGTGCATCCACATGATAGGGGTGTGGTCATGAACCACCTGGCACTGGGTACTACTGAGACGTCCAGGGCAGATGAAGAATATCCTAGGAACCACGGATAGTATCTGCAAGGAGTTATTTATTGTGCCTCTTTACAAGAGCTATTTTTACAGTCAATGAGTACAATGGGTTGAGGGGGCAATACACCGTTAAGCATGATGTCGTACATAGCACGACCACTACCTATAACCAGGTGTGGGAGGATGTCACTGCTGGGAGCCAAGCTTTCTAGCCTGAGAAATGAGCTGCTGCTATAGTGCAGAGCGAGCAGGAGAGAGAAGAAAGGGAAACCAAACACCACAGAACATCTGCACATCAATTCTGCACAGTGTGTTGTAATAATCTCAAAAATACAAGCCATCTTTTCCACATATAACTCAATAAATACCACTTTGCTGCAAAAGATTTATTTTGGAACGACTTCTTTTGGTGCAAAGCTTCAATGCTAAAATTTAGAATTATTTCATCAATAAAGAAATTTCAAAGTTTTATAATACATTATTCAGAAATTTATTTTAAGCTTTTCAATTAAGCAGAGAGTCGGGTGGTCACATTTGTTTCTTATTTTTGATGCACCTGCTAATAAGAAAGTAAATCTAAAGTTAGAAACCGCGTGAAATGAATGATCCAGGAAGGGAGACCATCTGTTAAAAGGGGGAAAAAAGAGGCAAAGATTTTGGAAAGAGACTAAGAAAATGTGCAAATATTAGTTAAAAAAATAAGGAATGCTTTTAATTCATTAATGTTTCCTCTGTTTATGAATTGCCATGGTTTAGCAAATGTCAATGACAAGGAGGGCCCTTGTGTTAGGGGAAATTCCTCATTCCAGAAGATACTGGGAGTCATACGTTTTTCTGTGCTGTTGTTCCAGTGTCAACACCAGACCGCAGAACTATGATTCTCCCTTGGAACGAATGCTCCTCTGAATGAGGTCTTTGGGTCCAGCCTTTCAGCCAGCGTGCAATCTGATGTGGAGCCCAATGCAGCTCAAGCTGCACACCTGGAAGCTGCCCTTCGGGAAGAACTCCCTAGTGTGAATGACAGGATCTGGGCTGAAACCCATGTGAGGAGGAAGAGGGATGAGGCAGGAGGATCTGTACCCACCAAGACCCTCTTCAGACTAAAGATAACTGATGACACTTTGGGGAGAGTGGCTGCCCACCAAAGAGGACCCTGAGAAAGAAAATAACATGAGAACCCAGGAATTGGGGAGGCAGGCAGGAGGGCAGGAGCAGAGACAGGGAAAAGCTGAGATAGTGTTTTCCTTGAGTGAATGTCTTTCAAAACTAACATCATACTGTGTGGTTGTCTAACATGCTGCTCTATGAACACTGGCTGGGCCTTGAAGTCCTAGTTTCGCATCAATTTTTTTCCTTTTATTGTTGTGAGTAGAGGGAAGAACTGACCCTACGTTTTTCCCCCAACACAAGTCACTGTCATTATGGCTTTCATATCAAGTATCTGTTTCCCTTTGTTCCAATTATTTGACCAAATTCATGTTCAGAAGTTAGACTTGCAAACATCAAAGCACCACAAATGCATGTGACATCTAGTGACACTGGGTTGAGAAATGCCAATATAAATACCATATATCAAATTACTATAGTTTCACACCAGGATAAAAAGGGGTGGTGGTGGTGGTGGTGGTGGTAGTTTCAGGGCAGGGAAGAGTTGCTCTGGAAAGAAATGAGGAAAAGAGCAGAATCAATCTCAAGCAGCCAAGTGAAGTTGAAGGTCTGTGACCCTATGATCTCTCAGGCAGGCGGCAGAATGGCCGTCTGCTAATGCATCTTGGCAAAGGAAATGGGGACCAAGTGCAGTGGCTGGCATATGCAACAGTGCGTTGATGGTTAACGGCAGATTGGGAACAACTGGTTTCTCTTGAGCTTGAGGCCGCACATTCCAATTCTCCAGAAGAAAAGTTCCCATGCACAACGGAAGTGTCATGAGCTGCCAAGATGGTTCAGTACTCTTCCTGCTGTTGGGGCTGCTGGTCATGGGCTTGCTCCTCTGCTTCTGGCTCTTCTGTGTGGCCCTCCTGTGGGGCGGAGAAGAAATTTCAGCAGAAATAACTTACTGCGTCTGAGGGCCTACAGGGTCCTAGGCCATAATCTCTGTGCAGCGTGGTGCTGCTGGGCTGTGGAGATGCCAACCTCAGGCACAGCTCACCGTGCAAATGTCTCCCGGCTCCGAGTGGCCAGCACACATGCAGGGACGCCCTCACATCCCTGTGCCATCAGAGAACAGTGGCCTGGAAAGCACAGCCATTAAGCTTTAAGTTCCAAACCTCTCCTCCAAACATCTTGGAAGAAAATTTTCCTCGAACACAACATATACTTTCCTACCCTCTGTAAAAGAACCAATCACAGGGACTCCACACGTCATGATAATCATGAATGAGCCGGCAGGGACATAATACAGGACCCCAGGCCTCTGGACCGTGTTGGACGGCTGCCCCTACACCAATGGCCCACAATGTGGTGCTTTTGATCTGATTCCTGTTTCTTCTCTGCTGTCACTCTTCTTGCTTGTCTAATGTGGGCTTAGAAACCAGAGAAGCAATCTGCTAGAGCTTCTGAGGGGAAGAAAGGATAGAGGCTATTTCACGGCTGCTGTAGGCAAGGAGGCCCTTCTCAACAGACAGTGCAGGAGCTCTGGCTCACGGACTTTGGGGCATATGTTTAGGTTGCTTTAGGCCTTCCTTGCTTACTCTCTCTCACTGACTGTGAACCTGGTAAGTGAGGTGGTTCCTCTACTTGGCTCCCAATGACCTATTTATTCATCTGCCCAATCCAGTGAAGAACATCAGGAACACCAACTTAGCCAAAGCTACAAATTCTTCCACTTTTTCACCACATAAGGAATAATTAGTTCTTTATCATCCAAGCAGAAGAGTGAGGCCAATCAGTAACAGCCAACTGCCTCCTCAATACCGGCACAGGGCTTTGGGATGTAGCCTGGCATGTCCATGGCACACAGAGAATTGCTCAGGTCCTCACGCACTTGGGACACTGACTCCCAACACATCCAAACCCAGGATCCTCTCCACATCTGAGCCCTACTCCCCAGAGCCAGAGACATGGCTGTGAAGATCCATTTCAAATACATTATGATCATCTCCCCAGATCCCTGAGCCAGAATAACACCTCTCCTTTCTCCTGCAGCAGTCTGTTCTTCCTGGGCTACAAAACTCTGACTTGGAATCTTGTTTGTGTTGAACTTGGCCCCAGCCACCAGATCCTGAGGTTCCTACAGTAGGGATTGGGCCTCATCAAACTGTGGCGCATTTCAGTCACTACAACATTCAACACATGTTGTGTAGAAAGGAAGAAATCAGAGGACTTAGGAGTGGATGACCAAGACTATCAGACTACCAGCCAACGTCACACAATGAGTCTTTTCTGAGAGGCAGTCTAATTGGAAGGTTAGGAGCATGGGCTCTGGAATTCACATCCTAGTTCCTCTATTTACCAGCTGTGAGACGTTGGGCATACAATGTAACTGCTCTTTGCCTCAGTTTTGTCTGTAAAGTGGGGGACAATAAAGAGTCCCCATGAAACAGAGTTTTCAGCATGTTTCACTATTACTGCATTGAATCCAATTGAGGATTTAATGAGTTAAAGCTAGCAAAGTGCCTAGAAGAGTGTTTGGTACATAGTAAATATTTTAAGTGTGAGCTGAGCCTATGATTTCTTAGAGGGAGAACTCTGAAACACATTCTAGATGTACAAATAATTTTTTAAAAACAGCAACCCTTTCTATAGAAAGTGACATCATACTGAAGGCCTAGGATCAAATGTAGCACTTTTCTTTCCTGGCTCTGTACCAATGGGCACATTATTTTGTAAATGTGAGCTTTCCCCATGTCCATGCCCACATCCTGTTATCACCCCCCAGCACTGTTCTATTCTGGAAAGTTAAGGCCCAATACCTACTCACTGACCACCTCCTGCTGTCCTTCTGACCCTCAAAATCCTTCCTTATTGCAGATGCTCTTTGGCCCGAGCCTGTAGTACCAGATGGGGCTGGGGCTGTGCTCTTGGCAGCATGCTTTGCCACTGGCTTTGCCCATTGCTTGGCACACGTGAAGGTGGTCCTCTCAGCTCAAGAAGCACCCGAGTTGACACTGCGCTCTCACAGGGAACAGGACGGTGCTGTCCTGAGGCAGCCCAAGATAGGGAACAGGCACTGGCCTCTGTGCGGGCAGGAGCTCTCCTCTTGCATAGGGGATGAAGGAAACTAATGCTCGCAGGACTTTAACAGGAAGGGTGCACTGGAACTCCAGTTCACTGTGCTTGGGCTCCTCTGTATTATGAGAACACTGGGAATTCCTGAAGCCAATCTCGCTGCCCCCGTCCCCACATGGCTCCTCTAAGCCTTGCACACCCCATTCTTGCTGCTGGCAGAGGTTGTACATGGTCCTGTGAGTGTTCCTACTAAGTGGATTAGCGCTGGGTATTTAGCTCAGTGGTTTTGCCGCCTGCTCCGCAAGCTCAAGGACCCGAGTTCAATCCCCGGTACCAAAAAAAAAAAAAAGAAACCTACTAAGTGGATGCTTGTCTTCCTCTCCAGCTCGGCTCTGAGCCTCTCTGGGTTGGGATGCTGCTCTTTATTCATCGTCCTAACTCTTCAATCTAGTGTGGTGTCTTCCTTTCTGTACCAATCAAACTTCAGCTGCTGTGAAGTATGCTTTTCTTACATAATTGCTTTTGTGGATATTAAACTGCTAAAAAGAAGGTCTCAGAAATCAGAATCTGTTTTACATTTTATAGAAAATTTTGTCACAGTTGGGAGTTAAGTGTGGAATAATGGCGTTAACCCAGAACTGAAAGTTGGAAGAGGTGAATTAAGTTTAATCTGCAAGTTGCAGGATCAGGACCCACTAAATAAGGCCCCTCCTCAGGCATTCTTTCCAAACATGTTGAAAAAGAAGGTAGGCTTGTCACCCTTTTCTGTGGCTCTGGGGTCCCCATCTGGCCAAGGGTAGCTCCCATGTGCACTGGGTGAAGTTATAGCCACAGGAAACCGATGGTGAAGTTAGACATCCGCAGGAACAGCAGACTCCAGACCATGCTTATGGTACTGGGAAATTCTGGCATGAGGAGAGAATCTTCCAACTACCAATGGATACTAATGCTTAGGGTGCAAGTTAAGGCAGCCAGAAACTGTGGCAGCACATTTCTGTCATTCTGCAATGTCGCATATCACTAGCAAGAGCTCCCAGCCCTTACAATGCTATTGCGGGTTCCCAGAAAAACAAAACAGAAAGTATTTTCTTACTCCTCATATGAAAATGAAGAGTTTTAAAACCTACCTGTAAGTAGGAGGCCAGGCAAAACCTATGCCAAATGTGGGACTAATGCATTGGAGTGGCATCTACTTAATTCTAATGTTTCTACATCAACCCCTTGCATCTCTCTGAATGTTTAGCTGTGAGAGCTGTTAGATGTCTTTGCTCTTATTATAATCGTTAGAAAGAGAGGCAAATTGGAAGACAGTACTGAAGAAGGGTCCTGGGCACTGTGGGAGGCAAACAAGGGCAAAGGAGGGAGGGGTTTCTCCAGAAGTGCTGGCTGCTGGATGCAGGAAGTGGCGTCAGTCACATCACCACTCATGCTGGCCACAGCCGGCTGTTCTTGCCTCTCTGCTTTGTTTGTGCAGTTTCCTCCTGCCTGAAGAACACTCTCTCCATCCTAGCTTTATAGCTGTTGATATTCCTAGTCATCCAATGCACATGCCATCTTCCCTTGACAGCTCTGCTTGGCCCTTCAGGTGGAGTCTGTGTGCTCCCACTTAAGTTCATCTATGTCTCTGCTATTGCAATTATCACAATCTGACAGCCTCCAGTTAGTTGTGTCCCTGCCTCTCTCTCCCTTGGACTGTGAGCTTTCCTGATGAAGGGCTTGTGTCTTTTTCTGCGTATCCAGTGTTGAATCTAGTGGACTGCAAAAGCCCTCCAACAACAGAAATATGTCTGTAATCAAAAAGCGCTGAGGAAAAGAACATCTTTTTTTCTTTCTTCCCCCCAGTATAGTACTGAGAAGTGAACCCAGGGCCTTCCCACTGAGCTACATCCTCAGCTATTTTTATTTTTACATTTTTTCTTTTGAGGCAGGGTCTTGCTAGTCACCTAGGTTGGGTTTGAACTTGAGATTCTCCATCCTCAGCCTCCCACAGTGCTGGGATTAGAGGATGTCCCACCACACCCAGCTGAAAGAAAATCTTCAGGTTATTGTAACAGTGGCTTCCGTGACCATCAGTACCCTGGGAAGCAAGCACCTATTTATAAGCTGGTGCACCCCAGGTGACAGAATCCATAGGGGAGCAGGTAGCCAATGACTAAGCCCAGACACCAGTGGCCCAAAGAATCCTAACAGAATGAGAATGAGAGAGTCACTGAATAGCCAGCTGGTGATCTGCTCTAAAAACCTCCATTAGGGCTCCACATCTGGGAACTGAACCAACAGATTTCACTACTCAGAACTCCCAGTTGGATTTGTACATCTTCCAAGCGTCATATTTTAGGACTGCTTGACTATAATAATCAGAGACCAGTCACTACCAAACAAAAATATAAGTCATCACTTGGGGGAAGAGATCCCTCCTACCAAAAACCCCTACCTGAAAAGCCAACCCATGTTCATCTAGTCTAAATGAAGAGCACACACAACAATCCAGCCTTTGACTCTTCTGCACCTTGCCATCTCAGATCAACAGCATCATGAACACAGTACTGACACTTCTTCCTGGACACCACACACACCAGACCTGTGCATACATGCAAGAATGGCTGGCTCTGGTAGGCAGCAAGGTGGGGTTGGGGTGTGTGTGTGTGCTGATGATGGGAATGGGAGAGCTAAACTGAGTATGGACATCTAGGCAGGGCTCCCTGGAGTCACACCCATAGGTAAGAGTGCTTGGCCGAGGCCAGCCTGCCTGTCCTTAGCCAGGAATTCAGCAACTCAGGTCAGCTGCAAGATCTGGCATAGAATCAGAAGGTTCTCCTGCCGCTGGAAGCACAGGACTGGGAAGATGTGAGTTTGCATGCCAATCTCCCTCCAGCGCTCAGGCATCACAGACAGCAGCTCCGTGTGCTTGGTCTCCTGGTGCTGTGCAGACCTCATCTGATTTAGCCTTAAACAAGCTTGTGAAGGAATAACCATAACTGATCTCGTGCCTGACAGGCTACTGAGCAGGCTGCATGTACAGAACATTATGTTTATGCCACTGTGGTCACAGACATGCCACTCAACAGCCTCTGGCTTCTTTAATCAGAACGGAAAATATAGGAATTGTATTTTTTTTTTTGGTACCTGGGATCGAACTTGGGACCTTGTACTTTTGAGGCAGGCAGCGGAACCACTGAGCTAAATCCCTGGCCCCCAGGAATTGTATTTTATGAAGCCATCTTGGCCTCAGGAACCTAACCAGGAAGAGTCCCAGTGCTTCAAAGTCTACATTCTGAGCTACTGGCAACCAAGAAAGATGTTTCAAAAGCAGTATTAGGAAAATAATGAAAGTGGTGGTGGGCTCCCAAACCCCAGACACTGTGCCTTACAGCATAAGCAAATTTCATCGCTTAATGGAGTAAATAAATGTTGCCTGTTACTCAGTTGCAGTAAGACAAAGTAAACCTGCTGGTGACTTGTTACATTCCATGGAAATAACAACTGACACATGACTGCACTATGGCATCCTGTGAGGATCCATAGCACTTTGGGTCAAAGAGGCCCAAACACTTCCATCAGCTTTGACTCAGCACACAGAGGTGCTTCAAACCCCAAGCCCTGGTCTCTGCCTTCCACATTCGGCTCAATAGAAGGCGACATTCCACCAGCTCTCACTTCTGCCTCTGGGTGCTGGGCCTCTCCCTCCCCGCACAGACAGACTGGGCGACCCCTCCCCATCTCTGCCAATTGTTCCTCCAGGCTCTGCACATCTGCTTTTTATCACCTGGACAGAGCCACATCCTGGGTCTCCCCCGGCACATTCTCTCATGAGCAGCAACTGGTGATAGGTCCTCCCCACAAAGGAGGCCCCAAGAAGTATTTTTAATAAAGGGCTGCCCCATGGTTCAGGCCTTCCCGGCCATGAGTTACCAAGACAACCAGCTATGAGATAAAAACAGAAGGCTGTGGGGCTTAGAGTAAAGGGAAAAGTATCTAGATGTTTTTCTTCTTTAACCATACTCTGACCTTTCATGAAGAAAGAAGAATCCTTACACAAATTCTTACTGTTCCTTTGCTCAGAGGTGAGAACCTCTTGGAATCTGGCCACACAAGTGCATTTCTCTTGCAGCCCCACCTTTACCCATTTCTTCCTGAATAACTTATGGATGTCTCTCCCAGGCACAGATCAATGGATCCCAACAACAGTGATACACACTCCTCTGGGACTGTCAGGTGTGCTGGCTGAGCTGCACTTCTCATGCGGCCCCAGGGAAGTGTTCGAGGGCTCACGGACCTGCTGCACTCCAACCAGGAGGGCTCCGCATACTTACATGTTCTTCTGAAGCATACAACACTTCCATTAGTCGCTGCACGAGGTCATCATTTTCCTGCCCATGCTCCTGGCAGAGCAGCTCAATTTCTCTCAGCTTCCCAAAGTAGAAATCCCTTTCCTTTTCCACACCTTCAAGGGCAAGTTTTAATGAATGTACCTGTAAGAGAGTGAGGATAGAGAAGAAAACCCCAAAATATACAAGGAAAAATAAGCAACCAATTGTGACTGTGAATAAGGACCTGAAACATGTAAAGAGAGGCACAGAAAACAAGTGGCAATTCTGATGGAGACAACAGGGCTGTCATCTGAGTTCAAGCTGGGGCCAAAATGTACAATTTCAGGAGCATGCTGGTCATTCCTTTCAACTGAGTTGTTTATCAACTAGTCAGAGCAACCTTTCTGCTTGCATGGTGCTACCCAGGCTGAAGGGAGCCTTCCTTCTGCTAATGTGGGCTGGACCACACCTTCTAACTCGCTGCTATGATCTGAATGTTTGTGTGCTCCCCTCCTCCCCTACTCCTATGTTGACACACTAAACCCAATGTGACAGCACTAGGACGCAGAGCCTCTGGGAGGCCATGAGGTCAAAAGAGTGGAGCCTCATGAATGGGGTTAATCTCCTTACGAAAGAGGCCTGAGCAACTCTTTATCTTTTCAGCATAGAAGCCACAGGGAGAAGGCAGCATTCATGAGGAATAGGCTCTCACTAGGCAAATGGATCCGCTGATGCCTTGATCTTCAACTTATAAAACTTCCAGATTTATTTCCAGAGAACTAAATTTGCTGTTGATAAACCACCCAGCTGATAGTATTTTGTTATGGCAGCCCGAACAGGCTAAAATATTCTGCAAGGAAAGGAAAAGAGAATGGAAGAAAGGAAGGAAGGAAGAGATGACAGAAAGGGTTCTAAGTGTGGGTAGATTATTCTGAGAACCCTTGCTTTAGAACCCTTGCACTAAGAGCTAACCTTGGTTTTCGGTTCCTTCAAAAATGATTCTGAACCAAAATGGACAAATGCTCTCCACCAAGAAATTAGGTCTTGGAGCACAAGAGTCCTGAGCAACAGTGAAAGGCTAGCTGGGTGGATCTGTCTGAACTTCTCTAGGTCTGGGTTTGGTTGCATCATTGGAAAGGTGGGGAGGTAAGGAAGCTCCACCTCCTCAGCAAAGCAACTCTCATTTCCTGTTTCCCTCTTGATGCTGGTTAAAGGGTCTTCCAGCGATGTGCAGCTTCTCACACTGTTTACACGGTATAAGCGGTGGGGAGGCACTAACAATGTAATCAGGGCCCAATGCCTGCTTCGGAAGAAACTGGGGTGTGGAGAGAGCTTACTTCAAATCTCAGGCAGCCACACTCCTGTGAGTAAAGCAGCTACACACAGGGTCAAACATTCACACTGTGGCTGGTCCTCCAGAATCCATTCCCTTTTAAACATACTTTGTTCATTTAGACATTATAATGTATAATCTTTGGGAAATAAGTCATTAGGGTCTTCCTTAGATGAGATCTCTCTAGCACATTAAAAATCACCCTTGGGGAAAAAGGCCGAGGGCTTCTGAGACTGTTCTTGCAGAGTGTTTTCTTCGAATTCACATTTGTTTCTCCCATTTAGAAATTTTGTCAGAACCATGGCCAAATACTCCTACGTAAAGTCCACCAAACTCATGCTCAAGGGAACGAAAGCCAAAAGTAAGAAGAAAAAGAAAGAAAAGACGAGAAAAAGAAGAGGATGAAGAAACCCAACTTGATACTCTTGGAATGTGGTGGACAGTAGCCAACTTTGGTGACATTTCAGGAACTATAGCTATTGAAATGGATAAAGGAACCTATATCCATGCACTTGACAATGGTCTTTTTACACTGGGAGCACCACATAAAGAAGTTGATGAAGGTCCTAGTCCTCCACAGCAGTAAAAAATTCTCAAATTGTCTGATTCCAGAATTGCCCTGAAATCTGGCTATGGAAAATATCTTGGTATCAATTCAGATGGACTTGTTGAGCATTTGGATGCCATTGGACCAAGAGGACAGTGGGAACCAGTGTTTCAAGATGGGAAAATAGCTTTATTGGCCTCAAACAGTTGCTTTATTAGATGCAATGAATCAGGTGATATAGAAGCAAAAAGTAAAACTGCAGGAGAAGAAGAAATGATAAAGATTAGATCTTGGGCCGGGGATTTAGCTCAGTGGTTCTGTCGCCTGCCTTGCAAGTCCAAGGACCTGAGTTTGATCCCTGGTACCAAAAAAAAAAAAAAAAAAAAGATTAGATCCTGTTAAAAGGGAAACCAAGAAAAAAGATGACATTCCAGAAGAAGATAAAGGGAATGTAAAACAGTGTGAAATCAACTACGTAAAAAAATTCAGAGCTTCCAAGACCATAAACTTAAAATCAGTAAAGAAGACAGTAAAATTCTTAAAAAGGCTCAGAAAGATGGATTTTTGCATGAGACTCTTCTGGACAGAAGAGCTAAGTTGAAAGCTGATAGATACTGCAAATGACCAGGACTTTTTTTGTTTCTGCCTACTTGTTTTGTTTTCTATGAATAAAATATGCAGTGATAGTGCTTTTATAGAAAAAAAATCACCCTTAGAAGAGTTTTCAAAAATTACATTTGGGGGTTGGGGATTTAGCTCAGTGGTTCCGCTGCCTGCCCCACAAGTGCAAGGACCCAAATTTGATCCCTAGTACCAAAAAAAAAAAAATACATTTGAGCTGTAAAATTTCCTTTTTTTTTCAGTACCGGGGATCAAACTCAGGACCTTGTGCTTGCGAGGCAGGTGGCAGCACCACTGAGCTAAATCCCCGGCCCCAAAATTTCCTTTTTTTAATAAGTCTGGGCTTCTGCACGTGCTATTTATCTGTCTGGAATCACTGGATCCTTCAAAAATACACAGAGCACATGCAACAACCATCTGCTTGTTGTGCACCTGGCAAACTCAGATCCATCCTAGAAGACTTGGGAATATGGTCTTTCAGTGTTAACCTCGTTGATATACACTCATGTAGCTAAGGCACGGAGAGTTGATTTGCCAACTCTTATTTCTGTTCATACTAGATCTTGGACATGTGCAAAAACTGAAGGCAACCAGCTTGAATTTGACAAAAAAGAAAACTTTATTTTGGAAATCCTTTCTTGTTTTAAACAAACAAGCTCCCTATTTGTGCTCAGCCACAGAAATCTGTCAACCCTGAGTTGGTGCCATCAGATGGATCTGTGGCATCAGGTATGCTAGCTTACCCCAACCACGCCAGGACACAGTCCACTCAAGAAACAGGTCTGTTTGCCTCCTGAGTGCTTTGGTTTACACAATGAGCAAATGGCTGAGGCTGTTGTGTAAATACTCAGCCCAGCTGAGCTGCAGTGGTTTTCCAGACGTGTCAGGTAAGAGGTGCTCAGCTACAAACATTCCGTGGTAAAAATTGTCAGCAGCTAGATGATATAATGAAAGATCAACTAGCAAATTAAGTTCCATGTTCATGGTCCCCTCACAAAGACTGATGCCAGGCTCATCCCTCATATGTCACGGCAGACGCCTGAGTGACAGAGGAGGCACTGGAGATGCACCCTTGGGAACAGTCGAGGGCAAGGGCCACAGAGGGGAAGGTGCCTTGTCCACCGACTCAGCATGTCCACCGACTGCTGGTCCCCTGGGGCTTACAGTCCACAGGACAGTCACAGCCGCTGTCTGGGCTACCCAATGCCTACCCCACCTCCACCAGCAGTTCTCCAGCCCAGCACGGCCTCTAACCCACTTCCTGCTGGCTGACACACTGTCCAGAAAGTGTTCCTAATCACTGTCTTTCCCACCCCTGCAGCTTTTGATTCATTTCTATCATTGAATTATCTAGCACAATGTTACTTTTATAGTATATTATGGGAGACTGTCTGAATAAAGGCACGAGGCCAAGCAAATGAAAATTCTTAAAGTTTACAGCACTTGTCACTTTCTCTATTACTACTGTAATTCATGCTTCTGTTTAAGCATTTCCACTTGGCTCCTCCTGGTCCTGGCATTCTTAGCTCCAACTCTGTGATGCCTGTGTGGCCAACTATTAGCCTCAGGGGGCCTTGTGTAAACTTCAATGACAGGAAATGGAGGGAGCAAGCACATCACTAGATCACCAGAGACGTGCATCTGTAGCAAGTGCTCAATACGTATCTTGAATAAAAGCCTCCCAATTTAGGACGTGTCTGACCTTCCCCCTGACAGAGTGGGTTGGGGAAAGACCCACTTCTCCGTGTGAAGGTGCCAGGGGGCAGGAAGGGCAAGAGCAACCTCTTGAAGTAATAAAGGGATCACAAGTACAAGGAAGGCCAATGGACTGTTCCTCTCTTCTCCCTCGCTGTCCTCTCTAGAGTGGCATCTTAGATGGCAGGATAGTGTAGCTGAGGCATTTTGAAGGTCTGGGGATGAGAGGGGTGACTCTTTTTAGGATTTGGACAAGTAATGAGAGCCAGTCCCAATGAGACAAGCAGGCTGGCTCTGGGCTGTAAGAGACAGAGGGGCAGGAAGGACCTCGGGGTTTCCATGAGGCCAGAATTTGGTCTGGAGGGTGGGAAACCTGGGTGTGATGGAGAGAGACCTCAGGGAGGAGAGGAACCCTGAAAAACATGAGGTGATAATATCAAAAGAAACTGTGTTCCTCAGAAGAGGAGAGGTATAAATCCAAAGAATGATTGACTCATGCCTGGTTTAGGTCAACTTCAACTTGCTTGGAGCCTTAGGCTTGAGGCCCAAGTCTCATTATTGCTGTCCTTACTGCCTTTTATCTGAGAAGTAGTTATTACTAGAAACTGTCTTTGGGCTCCAACTGAGGATCAGTAAGTAATCAGGATATTCTAGTTTCTAAATCAAAATCTTATCTGCCGGATGACAAAGTGTTACCCTTTTTCATGAATGCGATCAAGATAGTAAAGAAATACCCGTTGGTTAAACAACTGCCTGGTTTTCAAACTAGATTCTTGATTACAAATATACAATTACCTCAAAAGCTGTTTCCAGACTCTTGCTGGGTCATCAAAGATTAATCACTGGGTCTGGCCGGGTGAGTGGCTGGGAACAGCCTGAGCACCTGAAGTCACGGCTGCTCTTATCATGGTGGAAGGGCCAGGAAGGAAGACTCTAGCACACTCGGAGGGGATGAGGTGCTTCTGTGGTGGACCCTCTGCCCCCAGTGTTTTATTACACTACGTATAATTTTAGGCAAAATTAGCTACTGCTAATTAGAAAGTGGACCAAAGCCAGTAGAGCTAAATTGACTATTAAATTAAAAAGTTCTACTTAAAATACTGCTATGGGCTTGCAACCTTCCCAGCCCTAGGTTCAGTGCTCTCAGGGCACCCAACTTCTGCCACCGTGAGAAGGGTTGGGTTTTTGCTTTGCATGAGTAACCATTTCCTGTGCATAACTGCGGTCTGAGGGAAGGGAAGGTATCTATCCTGTTACTATTATACCACTGGGATTAAGCACAGTATCTGGCACATAAAACAGGCTCGACAAATAATTTCCTTTTGCTGAAAGGAAAGAAAGAAGGGAGTGAGAGAGAGGGGGAGGAAGGGCAGGAAGACAGGGAAGGAGAAGGAGAGAGTCTGAGCCTAAAGCAACCTTTAACACTCTTTAGACTAGCCAAAAGTGGGGAGGTCAGACTGCGGTCTAGCCTGGAGCTCAGGACTGACACTGAACAATAGAGGCGGAGGAGGTGATGTGCAGGCCTGCAGCAATGTGAATCATCTATTCCACCTTAATGTACAGCTTTAAGATTTGTGACTAACATCTTTCACTCATTATAGGCTACTGGCTTTTTCTTCCCGAACAATTCCTTTTATTCATTTTTGCTTGAAACCACTGATTCTGCCTTTCCTCCCTCTTCCTTAGCCCAGGCCTGTATAGGTTTGGCCTCCCTCCCCCTTATACATGTTACTGCTCCCAGAGACACAGCTAGAGATAATCAGTTACCTGCTCATTAAGCTGTATGACCTGTGTTTCTAAATCTTTATCAGACTTGGTTGCTGAGCCACTGGATGAAGCCCTTTTGGCAGACGAAGGACGAGAAGGTGTGGAACCTGGTTTAGATGCTGGACTTGATTTAGCTGCGCCTGAAAGCAACCAGAATACATTATAAATATTGGCAACATTAAAATGATTTTTAGATATATGGCCAATGTGTGGTATAAAAGGAATTTACTAAAAAGTACCAGGGATCCAGTGATCCCATTACAGAAGAAGCATAAATATGTTTAAAAGAACTGAACATGATTAAACTGCAGTGTTATATTGGGTAACTGATTTAAGTTTATGAAAACAGGTTTTTTCTTCTCGGATAATAAGAGGTTGATGCAGTTGTGCCTTCTCCCTCCAGATAAAGAGTAACACCTAAAAGGGACTTCAAGGTTTTTAGAAAGAAAGGTTTTAGATAACTTCAAATTATTACCCTAATTGAGTTGCTAACAAACAAGAGAAAAGGTCTTATCTGTCTCTCAGATAAATACTATAGAAGAAACATCTAAACAAATGTCTATGTTTTTTCTTCTCATACATTTCCTAGCTTCAGCCACTAAAAGAGCCCAGGAGCAATGGCATCTCCATAGCTGTGAGCACCCCGGATGCCCAAATCTTGATTTCTAAATGTTTTTCTACAAAAACAGGTTTCTTAAGAAATTGCTGAGCCTAGGACACCTTGAGTCAAAAAGCAAGGATGTGCTCAGGTACTCTTGTCAAGAGGACACAGTAAGCCACTTGAAGGAGCTCCTGGCCACACGGGCAGTTTGCACATTAGGAAAAATGATGCTGTAACTTACTGTGATGCACTGAAACATAAACATCCATCGGCACATAATGGGGTGGGGTGCAGGAGAAGAAAAAGGATGTAAAGATCTTTACAGAACACTGGCAGCCAGTAAGTATAGAAAAAATGTTGGGAAAATCAAAATTTTGCATTATCCATAATTAACAGCTGATTCTAAAAAGGGTCATCAAAACATCAAATGGGAGGTTTTTAGGGAAGAAGATATTCCTAAGTGTCAAGATGTCACCTTATAAAGTTCTGCACTTAACTATAAAGGGGGAAAATGAATCATTACAATGGGGATTTGGGCCATGGGTGAGCACCTGAAACCAGAGTTCCAAGAAGTATCTCTGCTAATGACATCAATAACAAACAAAGAGCACTGCTTTCAGGTCAGCCCTCACCTCTGACACTCAGCTCACAGTGGACGTATAGACTGTGGCACAAACAGAGATGGCTTCTACAGCCAAGGCAGAAATCGCAAGTTCCATGCAGGGAAGCTTGTGTGCTTCGTGGGTTAAGACCTTCCGGGTCACTGCTGGGGACCTGCCTCTCCCTTTTATCCTGGACGCAGTTTCAGGGAGGGGCAGCTCTGTGTCCACCAATCCCTGTCTGGTGTAGGTGACCCTCCTGTGTGCTCCATGGCCTGATTATCCCCCTCCACACCCCCATACTCTGCCCTTCCAGAAGGCTCTTGCAGGGCAAGGAACTGTCTTATTCATTATAACCCAACTGCATCACACAATGCTTGATGGAAAGACATTCAGTGAAGGAACAAATGTTTAAATAAATACATGAACAAGCAAATAAAACCGGTTATGTGGCTTCCAATTTTACCATTTATTTCCAACTTTATAGTTCTCAACTTTTCTGTTTTCTGACACATTAGAAAGAGGCAAGGGGTTATAAAGGCAGGTATGTGACAGCAGTTACAAGTTTCAACCAATACCCTAATTACAAAGTAGCTAACAAGAAGACTATAAAAATTTGTATTTGTGTGCTTCAGGTGCCTGGAGTCATTAGTTACAGATGCAAGTCAAACACACCCTTGAGAAGCACTGACAGCATTATAGCTGTTAAATATTTGTATATGCCACTCTGTTGTACAGAGGAAAAAAAAACTTTAAAAACTAGGGAAATGCTCAATATACTTTAAAATGGAAATACTATATTGAGGATGATTTAAAATAGTCCTGAGTGTTCTAAGACTAACTCTGCAGGGACCTGGAAACCTCACTTATGCCACAGGGATCCTGGGGATTGCAGAGAGCTGGGGTTTGCTTATCCGTGAGTGGTACACAGCTCTAAGGAAGGACCCTTCCCTCTGAAGAAGCCCGCAGAGAACACTAGTGGGGCCTGGTGTCCCACTGAGGAGTCATTTACGAACTCCCAGGCATGGCACTCTCAGCATTCTCAGAGGAAGTTAGTGTCCCGTGACTCCACCACCACCCTTGTGTGACTTGGGCTGTATTCCCTCCTCCCCGCTCCCACACCTCCTCGAGTGACTAGGGCTGCCATCTTTCAGGTCTCAGCTTAGATGTTCCTTCTTCGGGGTGGCCACAGCATTCTGGGCACTTTGTTGAGAGGGTGTACCAACTGAAATGGTGGCCATGACGTAGGAATTACATCTGCTTTGTCTGGCATGTTGCATACCCATGGCCAAGCACAGTGCCTGACACAACCACAGTCCATACCTTTTCAGAACTCATTAGACAACTCCTAGCAGAGGCATCATGCCAGCAATGACACCAGGGAAATCTTGGAGAACCAAAGATGAAGTCAAAGTCACTTGCCAGAAGAGCCAGCAGCACATGAAAGAGCCCAACAAAAGGTGTCAGCCTCCCAGAGAGAGAGTCCTTCCCTGGTTTCCTTTTGAAGCTGCCTGGTGCAATTACACAGGCCCCTTAGCCATGCGCTCAGAACAGGCTCAGTGGGCATGTGCAGTAGGTCAGCCCTTGAGCCTGGGGAAGAGCCATGTGGTTTGGCCTGGGCTGTCTAAGTCTCTGCCACATTCACTCACCTCTTCTGAGGAGAGGAGCCCTGCACAGGGGCTTCCCGAGGGCAGCCCTCCATAAGGCAGGCCAGCAACTGTGCTGTGGCTGGTTGCGGTAACCAAGTGTGGCTCATCAGACACACTCATGTTCTTAGCCTCTGCCTTATCCCATCTGACCTCAATTAAAAAAAAAAAAAGAAGGAACAGAAGCTAACTGCTTGTCAAACAGGGCCACCACTAATTATGTTTCCAGGTATGGAAGGCATCTTGAAATAAAAGTTCAAGTGTTTGATAAGAAGGAGGTGGAGGAGAAGGGGCTATGGGAAGCCACAGTCCAGGACAGCATGGGATGGGGAGGAGCGGGCTGAAGAAGCACTTAGTATGCTGGCTGAGAGACACAGGGCAGGGGTGACACACTCGACGTGGCTACAGCAGAGAAGAGAGCTGCTGCAGTTACTGATGCTAGCTAGCATGGCTCCTGCCTTGAGGAAACACATTCCTGCTTCAGAGCCCAACTTAAATCTGCCTCGGTGGGTCTGACTCTCTGAGCGGTTTCCAGAGTTTCTGCCTTAAAGTGGCATCTGTGTTTCTCCAATTCTGTAAAGGTCATTTGGGGCCAAGGGCCCAGGTCTCTCCCACTGGGCCGCATGAATGTCCTTTATGGCTGGATACCCCTGAGATGGGAAAGGCAGGAAAATCAGATACGGTATCCCCAGCTGCTCCTACACACACATGCACACATGCACGAGAGAAGAACAGTTCCCCTCCCCTGGCCTTCAGTCATGGGTGACACAGTGCAGCAGAAAAAAGGAGGAATGGAACCGAACACAAATGTGAAATCTCAGTAACAGATCAATTAAATAAACAGTTACTGATATTTAAAATTAGAGGGGTTCTGAAATTCTACTAAGTTGTTTGGAAAGAAACTGACAGCAGGAAATAAGTGATAAATGAGGATTTAAGAGGCTGGCACTAATTAACTGTACATCTGTACCACTCTAATGAATAAACAGGGAGAAATTTATAAATTGGAAAGATGGCTGGAAGGATGCTAGTATTGTCAGGTTTAGGGTTTTTAAATACATAGTTCACTAAACTTAAATCCAAGTGGATTAAAGATCTAAATATTAAAACAGAAACACTAAACTTGCCGGAAGACAAGTTAGGTAGAACTCTTGAAGACACTGGTATTCCAGGAAAAGACTTTATGAACAAAACCTCAGTAGCACGGGAACTAGCACGAAGAATCAACAACTGGGATCTCATCCTATTAAAAAGCTTCTGTACTCAAGAGAAATCACCAACAGAGCTAAGAGACAACTAAAATGTGGGAAAAAATTTTACCAGCTGTTCCTCAGAAAAAGGTCTACTATCTAGAATAGAAATGTCTAAAGGAATAGGGGAAGTGGGAGGGGCAGGGGAAAGGAAAGAAGGAAAAGAAGAAATATGAGAAAAGGAAAAAAATGGAAACAAAGTCTTTGTAAATAGGGAAGCATGGAGGGGTGAAGGGAGGGCAGGGGAATGGGGAGAAAATAAGAACAAAGATACGTCATGTAAAGGTACAAGATTCCAATGATGAATGAAACTGTATTTTATACCTAAAATGTACCAATAAACTTAATGGAAAAATAAATAGATACACAGTTCAGGATTAAACCAAAAACTCATCTTCAGAAGAATGATTTGATATGAAGAAATTTACTCCTTCACAACTGCCTCATGATTAACATACACTAAGAAATACTAAATGTAAACACAAAAAATAAAAATGAAATCTCCTTATAATGGCCTCCTTATATTCAATTCATGTTTTACTTTTTAGAATTAATAACAGTGACAATATCCTAAGGTATAGCATACCCTTTAGATAGTTCAGAATAAAATTTATTTGCTTTATAGATTTTACTGTTTTAAAGTGTACCTAGCTGCTGAGGCCAACTATTCTTTCTCACATCATCAGTCACTATTGTAAGGATGTTATTACAAAATCATACAGTTTTTAGACAAGAGGAAAGAAATGGGGGTGGGGATCAGGGTGGGTAATGGGAGAGACAGACACGAGGAAAATAAACATAATGAATCTCCCCAAATGTGAAGCCAGGCGGGAAGGCAGGGCTAAGGGGAAAAGTGAAATGTCAGGGTGAAAGTGATCGCAAGTGTGTTTGTGCCTGTACATATTTAGCAGAGAGAAGCCGATGAACTGAATAACCAATTAAAAAAGGGGGAAAAGCCCTTTAAAAAAGGAAAACTACACTTAATAGGAAGAAAAGGGGCAAAGGGGAAGGGGAAGCGGGAGGGGTAGGGGAACAGAAAGAAGG